CGCTTATACTACGAATTAACATTCTCCTTTCCCTTCCTCCCCCACAACAAAACACTTTCTGTGAGGTGAGTAGGGCTGAGAGACTTCAAAGAAGTGTGACTAGCCCAAGGTCACCCAGCAGCTGCAGGTGGAGGAGCGGGGAAGCGAACCCGGTTCACCAGATTACGGGTCTATCGCTCTTAACCACTACACCACACTGGCTCCAAACGCAGTAACGCAGAGCAAAGCTTTATGTCTGGCTGCCCCTGTCCTGTGGAACTGCATTCTTGCAAACATGACAGGAGCTCACTCTCTGCACTTTCCAGAAACAATTGAAGGCATTTTTCTTCTGACAAAGACTTCCTAGCTAGATGAATATGTCTCTGTTATGTGTGTCTACTTTGTGCTGTTTTTAAATGTATCTGCCGTTAGTTTTTCTTAATGCACCTGTTGTTAACTGTTTCAAATGCTGTTACTGTTTTCAAATGTATCTGCTATTATTTTCTATGTTGTCTTCATCCATTTTTACTGCTTTTTGTTTATCGCCTTCAAGATGTGTGTTGAAAGCGATTAATGCATTGGAGAAAGGTTTCCCATCCCTGCTCAATACGATCAACAACACCACGGTAATGTTGTTACTTTATGAAGGCAAATTGAAAAAACAAACTACAGTGCTAAAAGTGTATTTATAACATTTTACATTTAATTATTGAAAGCTCCCATAGATTAGCCATCAAGGAGAAAAATTTAGCATCCTCGGGGATGTGCTTTTAAAAAAATTAACTTTGGGGGAAGGTTTTTGAAAACAAGACCCAACACCGGGGGGGTTGCATTGAAAAAAGCTCTCTACCCCCCACCTGCAGTCGTACAGTCCAGAATCACATCATCTTAAGTTTTTCACACTGCTGTATGTGTAGTTAGAGCAGGTCAGCTGTGTCAGCAGCAAACTACAGTCCTATATATGCTTAAATTAGGAATTACGGTAAGTACCAGTGAATTCAAAGGAAATTCCTTCTGAGTAAACATACAGAGCTTTGTGTTGTAAGGCCTGGTCTGCCCCACACATGTGGGGCATGTGTTTTCCGAGTCTTTTCTTTGCCCCCTATAGAAAAATTTCTGTTCACAACTGTGCATGTATATCAAATACAATTATTGGGCCAGCCTGACAGTATCAAAAGTTGGGGTTGATGGGGATTGTGGCATAGCAACAACTCCAGGGTCAAAGATTTCCCACCCCTGTGCTCTAAATTACCCCATTTTGCATACAAACATTTTCCAGTTCAAATTTTCCAGAAAACTCATAGCATTAGCTACACATGCAGAAGAGGTGGTAGAATACCGAAGCCCACCACTTCAGATTGCAGCCGGGATTACACAGGGTTAAAATAAAAATAAATGCTCCCCCCTATCTGCGTAACACACTCCCCGAAATTAAAACACATAGCACATCAGGGATGGAAGTTCTAGCCAAGCCTCTCACCAGCTGTGCTAGTTTTCTACTTGAAGGGAACTTTTTATGTAGAACATTAAAAACACCACCACCCAAACAAACACATGGTCTCCCGATCTGCAGCCTGAAGTGGTCCAGCTCACTTGACCAACTCATTGTGCTGCAGGTAAGACCTCCTAGCGACAGGAGCACTGATGCAAATACTGGAAGACTTAACAGTACAATCCAAGGCCTGTTCACTTGCTGTATTCAGCAGGGCTTAATCCCAGGTAAGTGTGCATAGGATTGCAGCGTAAGAGTGAAATAGGAAACAGTATTGGGAGGCAGTGGACAAAATAGGCATTAAATAGGAAACAAAACCACAACCTGGTGGAACAATGCGCAAAATTGTAGGAGAGAAAAAAGGGTAGTTTTAAAAAGCAATTTCAACCAAAAATGGGTAGAAATTGTAGGGGAGAGAAACAACAGTGACCTTACTGTGGTTGTCTGCTATATAGACTGCCAAGCCAGACTGAAGACTCGGATGATGCCTTCCTAGAGCAGATTACCAAACATTCAAAAAGGAGAGAAATAGTAATCGTGGGGGACTTCAACTTCCCCGATATTTGTTGGGACTCAAACTCTGCCAAGAGTGTAAGGTCTGACAAATTCCTCCATTGCATCGCTGACAATTTAATTTCTCAGAAGGTGGAAGAACCAACAAGGGGACTTGGACTTGGTCCTCACCAGTAGGGAGGAACTGATGGATGAAGCAGAAGAGCTCGGAAACTTGGGAGGAAGTGATCATGTTCTCTTGGGTTTCAGGATATAAAGGCAAGGGAAAACTGAGTGTAGTCGGACTCGCACTCTGGACTTTTAAGAAGGCCAATTTCAAAAAGCTGAAGGAGATACTGGGTGTGATCCCATGGTCAGAAATACTCAATGAGAAGGGAGTCCAAGAAGGATGGGAGTTTCTAAAAGGAGAACTATTGAAGGTCCAAATGCAGACAATACCAACAAGTGAGAAAAGTGGGAGGCATCTAAGGAAACTGATGTGGCTGCGTAAGGAATTTACAGATGAGCTGAAAGTTAAGAATGAAGAAGTCAGGCTAGCTAGAGCTCAGAGTGAGCTGAGGCTTGCAAGAGAGCTTAAAAATAATAATAAAAGGTTTCTTTGGCTATGTCCGAAGGGCAAGCGGTAGATCCTCTGCATGGGGAACAGAGAGAAATGCTATTGGGTGACAGAGAAAAGGCGGAACTACACAACACCTACTTTACCTCTGTCTTCACCCAAAAGGAAAGTGATGCCCAACCTGGTGATAATGGAATAAATGATGTAAGGAGGGAGCTGCAGCTCAAGATAGGAAAAGAGGTAGTAAGGGAACACCTAGCTACTTTAAATGAATTCAAATTTCCAGGGCCTGATGAGCTGCATCCAAGGGTACTAAAGGAGTTTGTGGATGTAATTTCAGAGCCTTTGTCTATTATCTTTGAGAATTCTTGGAGAACAGGTGAGGTCCCTACAGACTTGAGGCAGGCAAATGTCTCCATCTTCAAAAAGGGGGAAAGGAAGACCTAGGTAACTACTGACCGGTGAGCCTGACATTAATACAAGGGAAGGTCCTAGAACAGATAATTCAAATAGGTCTGTGAGCATTTACAAAAGGATGCTGTGATTACTAAGACCCAGCATGGGTTTCTAAAAAATAAGTCATGCCAGACCAATATGATATCTTGATGGAATTAGTGTATCTTGATTTCAGTAAAGCTTTTGACAAAAACCCCCATGAAATTCTCGTAACTGTTAGGTGGATTTGTAACTGCTTGACCAGCTGAACCCAAAGAGTACTCATTAATGGTTCCTTGTCATCCTGGAAAATAGTGACAAGTGGGGTGCCACAGGGTTCTGTCCTGGGCCCCTTGTTGCTTAACATCTTTACAAATGACTTGGACGAAGGAATCGAGGGGATGCTCATCAAATTTGCAGATGACACCAAGCTGGGAGAGGCAGCTAATGCTGCAGAATCAGAATTCAAAATGAACTTAACAGATTGGAGAACTGGGAACCGCAAGCTAACAAAATGAATTTCAGTAGGGACAAATGTAAGGTTCTGCACTTAGGCAGCAAGAACCAGATGCACAAATATAGGATGGGGGACACCTAGCTTACTAGCAGTACATGTGAAAAGGATCTAGGGGTTTTGGTGGGCCACAAACTTAACATGAGACAACAGTGTGATGCAGCAGCAAAAAAAGCTAATGCTGTTCTAGAAGGCATCAACAGAAGTATAGTGTCCAGATCAAGGGAAGTCATAGTACCGCTCTATTCTGCCTTAGTCAGATCATACTTGGAATACTGTGTCCAATTCTGGGCACTACAATTTAAGAAGGATGTTGAAAAGCTGAAACGTGAACAGAGGAGGGTGACCAAGATGATCGAAGGTCTGGAAACTAAGAGGAGCTCTTAAAGGAGCTGGGAATGTTTAGCCCGGAAAGGAGGAGACTGAGAGGAAATATGATAGCCATCTTCAAATATCTTAAGGGCTGTCACATGGAGGAGGGAGCATGCTTGTTTGCTCCCGCTATGGAGGGTAGGACTCGAACCAATGGCTTCAAGCTGCAAGAAAGGAGTTTCTAACTAAACATCTGGAAGAACTTTCTGAGAGTAAGCACGGTTTAACAGTGGAACAGACTCCCGCGAGAGGTGGTGGACTCTCCTTCCTCGGAGGTTTTTAAGCAGAGGTTGGATGGCCAGCTGTCATGGATGCTTTAGCTGAGATTCCTGCATTGCAGGGGGTTGGAATAGATGACACTTGGGGGTCCCTTCAATGGAACATAGGCATCCTTGAGCCGAAATCCAGGAAACTACAGCCTCGTGAGCCTAATGTCCTTTGGATACAAAGCGGTGCGAAAAATTACCAATGATAGAAATAGTGGTGTGTGGCTAAGTATTGCTAAATCCTCTCCCTGCCCAGTGGGCGTGACTGGAAGAAAAGTATTTGGAGTGGCCAATATGGGAGAGGTTCAGCTTCTTAGACCTTCAAGTCTCTTGCTTAGCAAACCACACCCTGCTCAATTCCTTGCTACACCTGTTGATGTTCTGCTGCTATCCATGTCTGGTTTGGTGCCTTAAACAAGCGATTTTTCTGCTTAGAAAAGGCGTTTGATGATGAACACAAAAGGTCTGGAGCCTCGAGCGCTGCGGAGAAAAATCCAGGGCTGCTCAACGTACACAAAACATAAAGAGCTACCCATGGCAATTGGGAGGTAGTGGGTTGAAGGAAAACGAGAGGTGCTTCTGAAGTCAATGCATTTGTATAAGCTCTGAAATGTATCACCAGAGGATGCACGAAAACAGTGTCTAAAAAGGATTATGTAAATGCAGGCATGCCGCTTCTTTTGGTGGATATGAACCACAGGCTCCATTTTCAGAGATGGTTTAACCTTGACCAGATATGCAGGGTGGGAAGAACAGGAGAGAATGATGCCACCAGAACCCCACCACGGACTCTTCTTTTCTCGAAAGGCAGAATGCTGAATTTGACAGAACTCCCATCTCTGACCCAGCGTAAGAATTCTCGGGATCTTAAGATGCTACCGGAAAACACGTGTTGAACAATTTGGAACAACAGTGCATCTTTATTTCTTTTTAAAAGATTACCTTCTTACAGGCAGCCGGTAATGTGTTAAGTGTAATTATTATTATTATTATTGGTTTTGTTTAAAAAACTTGTACACATGTACATCAAACACTGCATTCCTCTGGAAACAAGATGGAAGGGAAACAGATGTAGGTACACTAAAAAAAAAAAGGAACCCAACCCCCCCCAATAAGAATAAATTTAAATGTACATTGCTGGCAGCCGTTTCCACACAACCGTTAGCGCTGTGGGGAGACACACGTGTAAATGTGGTGAAAACACATTCTAACTATGCAATAAGAAAAGCAATATATATGTTGTAACGAGAAGAACGGACAGCTGGAGGGACGCAGGATTCCCCGCTCCCACAATGAGACTAAAATGAGACGGGCCTCTGGGTTGCGGCAGTTTTCATTTCATTCGCTTCCGGGGAGAGACGTCTCCGTTGCTGGTGGCTGATTGCTGGGAAGCGAATGCGAGGCTGGAAGGGGAGGGGCAGGGCATCTCCTGGCCGTTTGAGGAGGTGGCCGCCGCATGCATCATGCTAGGCCCTGGGAAGTCGTAATACTGCGAAGGGTAGGGCGGACTGTATGACGTTCTGCCCCGTATGTCTTTCATAACTTCCAGGATGCCCTGCAACACGCTGGTCTGGCTGCTCAGCTGCTCCTTCAGCGTCTGATCGCTCGATTCCAGGGCGCTGACGAGCCTCCCAATGTCCTCCGCGCTCTGCTCCATCTCGTCTTTGCGGGCCGAGAGGTCCTCCTTGTAGGCACGCTCGAAGGAAGCCACCTCCTTGTGCGTGAGGTCAGACAGTGTCCGGACAAGTTCGCTGGTGGCCTGCGAGGTGACTTCCATGAGCTCCTTCAAGGTGTCCCCCCTCCTCTTCCTCTGCCGGCAACGGAGGTTGCGCATCCTCTCGGCAGCCGTCAGCGGTCGAGGGCGCAGGTTCGGCGCTGGAGGAGCAAACATCAGAAAGCAGGCTGAACAAAATGATGAATAATGCGACTTTGCAACAGCCTACCGCATGCTAATCTAAAACATTCATACGTGCACACGCCAGCTTCCAGATTCCACACAAGGCCACCCTAAAAATGTTTTTTTTAAAAAAAGTCAGAGCCTGCAATTTGGCGGCACTGTTCGATTTCTGCAGATGGCTATATATTTGCTTACCTGTCACACAACAAATTCTGTTAAGCAGAGAACTCCAGCTCCACCCTGAACTTTGAAGCCCAGCCCTGTTACAACTTCAGAAATCTCACCAGGTTTTTCCCCAAGCATAATATTACCCATCCCAAATCGACTGAGGATTTGATTCCCCGGCTGCTGAAATTAAAGCTGTGTTTCTCAAGTTCAGAAGTTGGCAAAAAAATTTAGCCGCAGGCCGGTCCACTGTCCCTCAGACCTTGTTGCAGGCTGAAGAAGCGGCACCGGCAGGGGGGAGCTGGAAGAAGAGGCGAGGGGGGCAAGCAGTCCTCCTCCACAGCCCCAGCCGCTGCACTTACCTTCCCAGGGATTGCCACCGCCGCCGCCACCACCACGTCTCGTGGGTAGGCAGATGAAGCTTCTCCACTCCGCTCTCTGGCCTACAGGAGCACAGTGGCAGCAGCAGAAGGAAGATGAGCAGCGTGAAAGGGCTGGCTCCGGAGAGGGACTGCTTAAAATGGCACTCAGCCAGCTCAGCCCAGTCCCCTTCCTCCTCTAGGCAGGGCAGGGAGAAGCCAGGGGGAGGGAGGGAGGAGGCGCCACTGCAGTGTGTGTGAGGGAGAGTGGGGGGAAATGGAATGGCGCAGGGGGGGGAGTGGTGCAGCCCAAATGAACAGAATCCCCACGCCGATCCACGGACAGTCTGTGGGCCGAATCCTGAATGCAATTGGGCCTGATCCGGCCCATGGGCCTTAGTTTGCCGACCCCTGCTCCAGATCCTCAGACTTCACTCCATTGCTCTGGACTTGGAAACAAGTGCGCGTGATAAAGCAACCCCTCCCTGTCCCAAAATTACCCAACCTGTCGAGAAGTCCACGGACAACTGAAACAAACCATGTACCATACCAAAGCCCACCCCCACCGCAGGCAAGCCGCAATTCCAAACAGAACTCACCAGAAATCGAGTCATTGGATGGCAATGGATCTGTCGGAGTGCCAGGGCCGCCACTGCCGTCCATGGATATATCGGAGTTGGCTGCCGGAGACCCCACTTGGTTTTCCATGTTGGCTTCACTGTGCTGCGACCCAGCTGATTCTGGCAAGAGCAAGCAGTCCCCGTCCGGCTCTTCAAAAGTCCCTTTGTCGCCTTTCCCAACCGAGGAAGGCGGTTCGTAGGCAGGGTCCTGAGTCTCCCTGTGTTCCCGGCGCCGGCGGTCGACCGGTGGCCGCGCGTTGCTCCCTGAAAGCCGCGGAACGACCAGGTTTTGCTTGATGCAGAGGAACCGGTTGAGCTCTTCGTAGTACGGCCACACTCGCCGCCCGTGGCCGGCGTTGCTGTTGCCGTCCACTATCTCTTTGAAGCCGCGCCGCAGCACTTTGGCCCGCTCGCGGCACTGCTCCCAGTCCCGGTTGTAACCCCGGGCTCGCATTTCGTCCGCGATCCACTGGAACTGCGCGACCGTGCGGTAGTTGGACGCCAGGGCGCTCTGCACAGCGTCGTCGCCCCAAACCTGGATGAAGGCCCGGGTTTCCTCGTCGGTCCAAACGGGCTGGCGCCTCGATTTCGTGGCAGACGAAGAGCCCTGCGAAGAAGCTGCCATTGTGCCGTGGTTCGGCATCGGCACCGTCTCTAGAAGGGTATCAGACAACATGGTGTGCTCCGAGGGTGACCCGGCCAATACTGGCGGCAGGAATTTGTTTTTAAAATGGCAGCAGGAAACTTTCTCAACTGGGGCGCAGTAAAAAGAGCACTAGCGGGAAGGAGGGGAAGTGTAACAAGGAAGCTCCTAACGATAGAGTGCGGATAGAGAGAGGCGGGACGCTCTGTACAATGCACTCTATGGTCACGCTGGCAACTCCCCCGCTGAGACATGTGCACCTCCCACAAACGTTACGAGAGACACACGTCTCGCATCTTTGTTCCCGCAAGTTGGCCTGCAAAGAAAACACGTGTGACCTCGAGGAAATGGCACGGGAGTCTGCATTCCGACATGCGAAAAAAAAGATACGTGACAACGGTGCGATACACGTGTCTAGCGTAACGTGTGAAGCGATCTTAAAAGCTCCATCCCTCTTTAATCTACACTATTCTAAGCCCCTGACGAGAAAAAACCCAACATATATTAAAAACAAAGTTAAGGAAAAGTTTTGTAACGTATTCCAGTCGCGTAACAGTTTAAGAGCAGCTTTCTAGACACACCTGCCTTTACCCTGGCCTGATCCACATGCAAAAGAACAATTACTCACCTGTGTAACTGCCATCTGTTGAAATGTAGGCCGCTCGGGGAGAAAAGAGAAACAGGCAAAATTAGAGGTGGAGACTTCTGGATCTCTTATGAGCAATACTGGGGGAAAGGGTGACTGAAAGTCACGAGGAAAGGGCAATCAACGGAACAACTATCCCACGCGACCAAAAGCACTGGAAATGTGTTTTTTTGAAACAAAAACGAGATGAAACAGATTTTTAGGAATCTAAATTTTACACCAAATACCCATCAAAGCCAAAATAAATCCCAAACTGGTGCTAGGGATTTTTCTGAATAATTGGAATTCTGATTTCACTGTTAGGAAGCAGTCACCGTATAGTTTATTTGGATGAGCAAACTCTGAAGTGTTGCTCAATCCCAAAAAGCACCATCCTTTTGATCGTGGGCAAATGCTATAAATCTCAGCTGACTGAAAACCAACTCAGGTGCTACAAGGTATTAAAGCTCCTTCCAAGGTGTTTTGGAACTCCTCCCACTATTCAGGCTGCTTTCCACAGTAGGCAACAGGCGGCAGTGGCTGCTTGTCTATGAAGATCAAGGATCTCATCCAGGTAACCAGACAAGGAAACTTCTGTACCCTTTAAGATTCTGTGTGCTTTTGCCCTCGTAAGCCATCTATGTGCCACAGATCTCCAACACAGATATGAATGGGGCAAAAAAAAACCAACAGCAACTGTTGTGGGCTTGTAACTTTTATGACCTTATTTGCAAAGCTGCCTTCAAGCACTCTCAACTCACCTGCTCCTGGGAACAGCAGCTTCAGAGTCACTCTCTAGTACAGGCATAGGCAAACTCGGCCCTCCAGATGTTTTGGGACTACAGCTCCCATCATCCCTAGCTAACAGGACCAGTGGTCAGGGATGATGGGAGTTGTAGTCCCAAAACATCTGGCGGGCCGAGTTTGCCTATGCCTGCTCTAGTAGCTCTAACCCCCTTTTTTGTGGACCACTAGGGGCTGACTCTCTGCTAACAAATGGGAGAAATCTCCTCTTCCCATTGGCTTGTGAAAAGCTGTCAGCAGGGGGAGGCAAGTTCACCAACAGGACAGCAGCTGCCAATGCCGGTTGACGTGGGGTGTCTCCTCCTTCCAAATGCTCCATGAATTTGTGGAAGGATCAACTAATCGAAATTTAGAATTATTAGGGTCCACTTTTCAGGTACACATCCACTACAGGAACAATTTCTAAACATATCTAAGCACTCCTGAGTCTTCACAGTGCCTGCATTCATGCTCCATGTGCAGCTCCCTGATCTTGTTAGGTCAGTGCAGCATGACAGCCAAGCCAAGGTTTGCCTTAGCATATTGGCTCAGCCAGAGATCACGGCTAAGGTCTGTCATTTAACCATGATCTGTACCAAACGGCTACATATCACGGTTAAAAAGGAGGAACCATAACCATGATACTAGGTTCAGTAGATACACTAGGCTTAGATACCTAATAAGCCCAGGGAGGAGGAAGGGGGGTTTATGCTCCTTGCTGGGACCCAACGGGTTTGTGTGATCAGTTAGCCATACTGTGGCTTACCACCGGGACATGCAGAACCATTCCAACGAGACGTAAGAGATCCTTACCCAAGGAATTCACATCCTCGCCATTCTCTTCCATGATCTCTCTAGATCTCCCCTTCTCACTTTCCCTCCCCCCCTCCTGTGCTTTGAGCAGAGTCTTCAAGAAGGCGTCCAGCCCCTGCAACAGACAACAGAAAAAGCCCATTAAACCCCACTGCACAAGCCACCAAGCAGAGCTCACTGATTCGGGGCACTGATATTGCTGTAGAGCCTGGCCGAAGAGCTTTTCAACTTCTGGCAGGGATAGGCAATCCACTTCCTTCTGGAATAAATGCAAAGGCAGAAGGCATTGAAATTAGGGCTGAAATCCTTTACTCTCACTTGAGAGGACACTGCGCTAAACACAGCAGATTTAGCACACAGGACTGGGCTGGAACTGACTTATTGCCTTTCCTATACCAGCAGGGCGTTGCCGGTGAAGCTTTTGCTACAAACAAATTAGCCTCAGATGACTCTTAAATTGGGTTTGCCAGTTGGCACTTATCAATGTGTAGCTCTATTTACGACCAGCAATACAATAACAGTAGTGTCAAAACTTTCTGTACTAATTTCTTACAAGCACCCAAGGCCATCTAAAGTCAAATGAACTGAAATGAACTGTAAACACGGAAAAGAGCTACAAAACAAATCACATAAACATTGTCAGTTACATTTTACTGGTTTTTTAAAAAACTTCTATTGTACACTACTCTGGTCTTGTTAATGAGGAACAGCAGTATATAATTATTTTAAATGAACAATAAAAGAATAAAAATAAGAATATATGTATAGTTATTTACTATTTTCTTGTTACCTAATTAGGTCCAAATGTCTTACATTCAGAAACATAAATACATTATACAATATAGAGATACCATATAATTTAAGTAATAAAAAAAGAATATGAGTATGACAACAAATGGCTGCTATTCTCTTGGCTTAGGTTTCTCTCTCCCAGCTTCCTCTTTTGCTAAGTCCAGTTTATATATTTTAACTCCGCTGATGCTCTAAACATTGTTTTTGCTTATTACAATATAATCCTACTCACAAAAACGATTCTATATTTTATTAACATTGCAGCCTCAGCACACAAATATTACTCTTTTTTTGCCAGCAGAAACTGCTCATGTTTGGGGCTGTGCAGCATCTATAAGTCTGTCTTCTCCCATGTAAAGTCCTACTCATTTAGTAGCTACACTCAACAGGCATCAGCTTGTGACTGCCCTAATTCCTTTACTTGTATTCCGTTGAATTTATATGAAAACACAAAACAAACAGAATCTGATATTCACCAGAATTGTTACCTTAATTCAGGGGTCAACAACCTTTCAGAGCTTAAGGACACATTTGCAAAGTGGAGAAACAGTTGTGGGCACCACAATCAAGTTCACACCACAATCTATTCTATTAGCTACAACAGAATGCTCTTTTCAAGCCCAATTTTAGCTGGCAGAGCAGACCCTAAGGGTGCCAGGAAAGGTCTCTGTGGGACACATGCACCCACGTTGGCACGCTTCGCTTTAATTGTACCAACTTCTGGGTTCTTCCTTTCCCAGTTAATACAGTTCTGCTTTGCTTACTTATATACTGGAGTGCTTCGATTCCACCTTTCAGCAAGATCCGATTTTAACATTAACTTCCTCTACAGAACAAAGTTTTCAGACAATCCAAACTCAGGGACAAAGATATACTTTTGCTCCCAGTTATTTAATCTCACTCATAACAACCTGCATGGCTCATTAGAGGGCCTTTAGAATGATTGATTCTCTCCCACTCAGGTACCCAGAACCTTTAATCTTTTTGCTGTCAACACCTACTGTCAATGACCTACATTGCAGGGTTGTTGTAAAGATTCCTAAGCAATGTATGAGTGCTGAGAAGTCTGTTATTAAACTGAGAGTGGTGACACCAATTGTGCCAGTTTTGGCCTCCCCAGTTTGGCTTTCCCGGCACCTGTGCTGTGGTTCTTTTCAGCAGCAGGTAAAGACCGGTTTATAAAACATTTCCCATGTCCCTTAGATCTTTTACACTCCTGTCATCTCCCTCCGGATTTGCACTAGCCTGCTTTTCCCTTCCCTTTTATGGCTTCACAACAACCCACTGTGGGGAACTTCTGCTATTAAGGACACAGCACAGAGAAGTGTGAGGAAACTGTTACAAAAAAACAAATAACCGGAGCGATCGATTCCACCCTGACCGGGGAGGAAGAGAGAAAAACAACAAAAAACAGGCAAATAAAGCTGGTGCCAGGGCATGCAATAATTGCAGCGGTTATTATGACTCACCTCCCACTCCCACCCGCCTTCCTCAGCGCGATGGGGGGGGGGGGGAGATCTGTGCCTCCAAAAAGCCGGAAGTGGCGGCGGTGCGAAAGCCTGACACAACCCACCCCTAGACACATTCACACGTACACCCGTCCTCGCAAGATCCGAATAATAATAATAATAGTGATGATAATAATAGTAATAATAATAATAGTGATGATAGTAATAATAATAATCATAATAATAAATAACAATTTCTTTTACTTGAGTCGCTCTCCTGGGCATCCCCTCTCCCTCATTTCTCCGCGTCGGGGGCTCTTTCCAAAGAGACAAAAGGCGGGTCCCACAAGCAGGGTCTCCCTTTTCTTTTAACCCCCCCCTTTGCTCCCTCCCTCCCCCTCCCCACGACCCTCCCCCCAACATTCCTCCCCCCGCCCTCCAGCCCCGCCCATTCCTGGCACTTTCCCTCAGATCTCTCCCCGCCCCCCCCGCCGCCCCGCTTTTAAAAACACAACTGCAAGTATGGAAGAAAGCCCGAAACTCCGCCGGGGCCTCCACCTACACAGCCAAGGGCTCTCGGAGGACGCGAAGAGCCTGGAGCTGGGCCGCTTCCCCCCGCCGCCGCCGCCGCCTACGCCGCCGTCCCCCGGAAGAGTCCCCGCTGCTCGGGCGGCCTCAGGGAGAGCTGGCGCCGAGGCCTCCTCGGGCTGCAACAAACCCCAATATGGTGGCCGCGCAGCTGCCGAGGCCGGAAGTCCGCCGCTGAGCGAGGCTTCGGAGCGGGGAGCGAGAAGAGCGAGAGAGGCAGGAAACGGGGGCAGGCGGAGGGATCTCGCCTCCGCAGCGAACAGCGGCCTCTGCTGGCGGGAGGCCGGGGAAGCGCCGATCGAGGACCAGCCACTGGCTGGGGGTGAGGATGTTCCTGTTTTCAGAAGGTGTGGGACCCCAGAAGCATCTGAAGGCAGCCCTGTATAGGGAAGGGGTTAATTATTATTTTTTTAATATTATGTTTTATTGTGTTTTTAATATATGTTGGAAGCTTCCCAGAGTGGATGGGGCAATCCAGTTGGGTGGGTGGGGTATAAATAGTACAACAACAACAACAACAACAACAACAACAACAACAACAACAACAACAACAACAACAACAACAACAACAACAACAACAACAACAACAACAACAACAGAGTAGAATAGAATGTCCCTATGAGTATAAATATGGGACGCGGGTGGCGCTGTGGGTTAAACTGTTATGTACTGAAGTTCTCACCCTGGGCCAGCAGGGGGATACTGTAGATAGTTTTCACTCAGGTCCACATGTGCAAATAAGGGATTGAAAGTGACGTTCAGTGATTGGATAGTTACAGAAAGTTGTTACTGTTGCGTTCTAGTGGAGCTCTATATAAGCAGGCTGGCTGAAGCCTTCAGTTCAGTTCTGTTCTGGCCTGTGAATAAACAAGAGCTGTTTGAAGAATCGCTGTGTCGTCTGATATGTTCACCCACAACTTAACATAAAACACAGAGCCTAGGGCTTGCCAATCAGAAGGTTGGCGGTTTGAATCCCCACAGCGGGGTGAGCTTGCTCGGTCCCTGCTCCTGTCAACCTAGCAGTTCGAAAGCACACCAAAGTGCTAGTAGATAAATAGGTACAGTGGTATCTCATGTTACATACGCTTCAGGTTACAGACTCCGCTAACCCAGAAATAGTGCTTCAGGTTAAGAACTTTGCTTCAGGATGAGAACAGAAATCGTGCTCCGGTGGCGCTGTGGCAGCAGGAGGTCCCATTATCTAAAGTGGTGCTTCAGGTTAAGTACAGTTTCAGGTTAAGTACAGACCTCCAGAACGAATTAAGTACTTAACCTGAGGTACCACTGTACTGCTCTGGCGGGAAGGTAAACAGCGTTTCCGTGCGCTGCTCTGGTTCGCCAGAAGCGGCTTAGTCATGCTGGCCACATGACCCAGAAGCTGTACGCCGGCTCCCTCGGCCAGTAAAGCGAGATGAGTGCCACAACCCCAGAGTCGGTCATGACTGGACCTAATGGTCAGGGGTCCCTTTACCTTTACGAGTATAAATAGTAAAATCATCATCATCATCATAGAATCTTAGAGTTGGAAGGGACCCAAGGGTCATCTAGTCCAACCCCTTGAATTGCACGAATCTCAGCTAAATCATCCATGAAAGATGAAGAATCCATGACACCTGTGAAATAATAATAATAATAATATAATGTCCCTCTTTTCATCAGAGAAATGTTGGAGGGTATGGAGTTATGTGACCTTGAGCCATCTGAAGACAGCCCTGTACAATATAGGGAAGTTTTTTTTAATGTTTAATGTTTTATTATGTTTTTATTTATGTTGGAAGCCGCCCAGGGTGGCTGGGGCAACCCCGTCAGATGGGCGGGGTATAAATAGCATAATAATAATAATGGAATAGGACATCCCATCAAAATGCAGTATTTCACAAGAAATGACAGGATAGGTATGGATTGTTGATAATGTGTGTCCACTGCTTCTCAAATCAGCAGTGCGAATACTGGTGTGAATACTGTGGAAGGTGTCTGGAAAAGACCATAAATCGCACTTGACTATTTTAAGATCTTTCCAGAAAGAAGGTGTTTTTGAAAGTTCTTTCCTGAATCAGGACTCTCAGCATTTAACACATGATTAAGAGACATCAGTCACACGAACAAATGCAAACCTGGATAATTTTAATTGGGCATTGTAAGTTTTTTCATTTCATTATTAATCTATATATACTCTGGAAATCAAACTACAGGACAACTTTTGTTTCTCACCTGAAAGTGTGGGTTTCCTATGTTTTCAACATTTCCCCAACCGGTTAGTAACCTAATTTTAAAAAGAGAGCGAGGGAGACAGAATTCTTGACAAATCCATGCTAGCTTCTACTAATCACAGCATTGTTTTCAAGATGTTTACAGACTGGCTGCTTTATAATTTGCTGTAGCATCATTCCTGGTATTGTAGTTGCATTGATCTCTTGTTTTTCCACCCCTTTCCCCCCAGTCAGAGCTGCCTAGCCAGATAGTAAATACTGCCAAATCTGTTTCAATTGCAGCTGTTCTGGTGCAGTAATGACTGAATGAAGACAATCAGTGGGACATTTACATATGTGATGAAGCCATCTTACACCCTTGGAGGGTGGAAAGAGTGTGTACATTTTAAATTTAAACAAATAGGCAACCACCCTTCCACCCATTTCAGAAGCCAGTGCAAAAATAAGGAGGGCTGTCAAAAGTAAATTTCCCCACAACCAGTGCCATGATTGTACATTGACAGCAGAGGGCGCTGGTGGTTGCAAAGCAGGAAAGAGAGGCAACCCTCTCTTCTTCTCACACAACCCTGCTCTGCAGGCAGAGGTGGAACTGGGTTTAGCTGAAGCAGCGGCTGCACCTTCCAAAAGGGGATTTGCAAGAACCATCTTAGCGCCAGCCTTCTTTGCAGCCAGGAAGGAGGAGGGGTGCCCTGTTGCTTCAGACCGAAAACTCCCCTGGGTTCTGTAGCTGTGATTTTGAATGGAAAGAGGCATAGGCAAAACAGAAGGGCTGAGCTTCTGGTGCAAAAAGGAGCTGTGAAAAGTAACAGGAGTGCATATTTCCCACCTCTGGTTAGTAGCCTCTTCTTCACATCAGTACAGACAAAACTGTATTTGGGGGGGAAATAGTGTAATAATGTGTGTGTGCCTTGTTTTTATTCTCTAGTTGCATTTCTGCCTTTTGTTTATCCATTTTCCTCAATTTAACATCTTTTTATCCTGCCTCTAGGTACTCAGAGCCCCACCAAGACCAGCCCCACCCTTGGGCAGACTGAAGCAGCTGCCTCGGGTGGTAAATCTCCAGGAACCCTTCTGACCCTGAGAGGCGGCAGAATTTCATTTTGGCTTCCTTTTGGCACCGCCCCATTCATCCAGCATCATGGCGCTTCTCCAGGTAGGCAGTTTTCTATGGGAGGGCTGTACTCTGGGTAGGGGAAGAAAAACACAAGGGTGGAAAGAAAACGGGATTGTGATGGTTTAAAATGATAGCTATTGACTCTATGCTATGCAGGTGACTTTTGAGGAGGTGGCTGTGTATTTCACTGAGCAGGAATGGGCCTTGCTGGATGCGAACGAGAGAGCCTTATATTGGGATGTCATGCAGGCGAACTACGAGCACCTGACTTCACTCGGTAAGTGCTCTGCCTAGTGTTAAAAGCTTGGGTTTGTCAGATGCATGCAGGATTGCTGTTGTTTTTTCAAGGACCCAGCAAACAAGTTAAAAGAAACCCGGTTCTTTATCTCTCTAAAACACACCAGAGCCATACATTAATATTGTTAATACAATCTTACGCTCATTCCTATTGTTGTTGTTGTTTAGTCGTTTAGTCGTGTCTGACTCTTTGTCACCCCATGGACCAGAGCACGCCAGGCACTTCTGTCTTCCACTGCCTCCCGCAGTTTGGTCAAACTCATGCTGGTAGCTTCGAGAACACTGTCCAACCATCTCGTCCTCTGTCGTCCCCTTCTCCTTGTGCCCTCCATCTTTCCCAACATCAGGGTCTTTTCCAGGGAGTCTTCTCTTCTCATGAAGTGGCCAAAGTATTGGAGCCTCAGCTTCAGGATCTGTCCTTCCAGTGAGCACTCAGGGCTGATTTCCTTCAGAATGGAGAGGTTTGATCTTCTTGCAGTCCATGGGACTCTCAAGAGTCTCCTCCAGCACCATAATTCAAAAGCATCAATTATTTGGCGATCAGCCTTCTTAATGGTCCAGCTCTCACTTCCATACATCACTACTGGGAAAACCATAGCTTTAAGTATACGGACCTTTGTTGGCAAGGTGATGTCTCTGCTTTTTAAGATGCTGTCTAGGTTTGTCATTGCTTTTCTCCCAAGAAGCAGGCGTCTTTTAATTTTGTGACTGCTGTTACCATCTGCAGTGAAGCCATACATTAATTTTGTTAATACAATCTTACACTCATTCCTCTTCTAAGGAATGTTTTACTATGTTTTGTATATGCTGTAAGCCACCCAGAGTGGCTGGGGAAACCCAGCCAGATGGGCGGGGTATAAATTATACAATTATTATTATCATTATTAAGGCTCAGGATAGGTTATAATCAATAGGCATAAGCCAATCATAGTTGCGCATTTGATGGCAGAAAGGATCATCTTTATGATGATGATCTGTGGAGACAGAAAGTGTTTTCCTTTTGTATTATGCACTTTAAATCAGAAGGGCTAGGTAAAGGTAAAGGACCCCTAGACGGTTTAAGTCCAGTCAAAGGCAATTATGGAGTTGCGGCGCTCATCTCGCTTTCAGGCCGAGGGAGCCGGAGTTTGTCCGCAAACAGCTTTCCAGGTCATTTGGCCAGCATGACTAAACCGCTTCTGGCGCAATGGGACACCATGATGGAAGCCAGAGCTCATGGAAATGCCATTTACCTTCCCACCGAAGTGGTACCTATTTATCTACTTGCACTGGCATGCTTTCGAACTGCTAGGTTGGCAGGAGCTGCGGCAGAACAATGGGAGCTCACCACCAACCTTCCGATCGGCAAGCCTATGTTTTTCTTGCTCATGGGCACCTGCAGAATCCGTCATGGTTTGTGTGAGTGAGGGAGCTGAGGTTTTGCCCTCTTTGCAGCAGCGCTCCCAAGTGCTAAACAGTTCCCCAAAGGAAGTAATCTGCAATCCTTCTTACGCGTCAGAGAAACTACGGGGTTTGCATTGAGAGACACCCACAGTGTGGGTGCAAAATCTGTCTGGCAACCACAGCTCTTGAGAACTACACTTGCTCTGCTCTCTGTGTAGCCCCCATGCTATTTTAGGTGCCGGGTTGGTTTGTGATGGACAATTTGCGAATAGCTTTTTTCCATGTGTATAGAAGCAAATGTTCCAGAAAGTCTGTGAACGCCATCTTGGTAGTCAAGATAACCCCAAGACTAACTGGTAGTTGCTGCAAGAATGACATCACGTATGTTTATCCACTTGCCTTGATATATGCCAATTGGCTTGCTTTGATGCCATGTTTATCTGTGGGCCTGAGATGCGTAGTTATTACTCTAGGGAGGGGAGCTATCCGTAAGACTTGGAGTCTTGCCACCTATGCCTTCCTTGGCAGGTGCATCAATGGGAGGTTCTGGCCCGATTGGCTTATGCTGTCCTGATATAAGTAATGCATAAATGCTTTCCCAGGTGCAGACAAGTCATGGCACTTTCTCCCTGGTGTGGTGTCCATCCTGGGTCTGTAAAGGCAGCAATGCTCTCCAGGCTGTGGCTGGACCACACATCAAAAAGGCGATTTGGTTAAACGCGTTGTAAACTCTGCAAAGGGAAATCACCTTGGTGAAAGACAGGACTCCACAGCGCCATCTGGTGTGTCACAGAGTTATAACGCACATAAAGCGCTTTTTCTTTACGAAGGTAGCCGAGTCCTGTGTTGTGAGTCTACACTTCCTTCTAATAAAGCACTGGAATGGATCACCCTGACGTTTTTGGCACCCTTCTTTGGTATCCCTGCACCAAACCACCCTCACAAACCCTCTTTTGCGCCTATAAATCAGGACACCCCATAGGTCAGGTATAGGCAAACTCCGGCCCTCCAGATTCTTTGAGACTACAGTTCCCATCATCCCTGACCACTGGTCCTGTTAGCTAGGGATGATGGGAATTGTAGTCCCAAAACATCTGGAGGGCCAGAGTTTGCCTATGCCTGCCATAGGTTGTATGTGCCAAGCCCCTTCAAACTGCTTTGGAATGGGTTAGGGTCTAGGTCTGATATCTAGGTAGAGGCAGGATGCTACTGCAGGGTTTTGGTCTCATGGAGGTGTTTCCTTAAAAGAAAGAGGGTGGGGAGCAAAGTCATGAGGCATGATGTGTAGACAGACGGCTCTTCTCTAATCTCCAGGTGTCCACCTCACCCCAACAGATAGCAGGATTTCATCTTGGCTTCCTCTGGCACCCTCCCATTCTCCTGTCAGCATGGAAATTCCCCAGGTAGGCCGGAATCTGCAGGTGGGCCTGTTCCATGAAGTGGACAGGAAATATGCAAGTGTAACATCTACATCTGGAGATGTAATGAGGTCGAGGCATAGCTGTCAACTTTTCCCTTTTTTAAAGGGAAATCCTATTCGGAATAAGGGAATTTCCCTTTAAAAAGGGGAAACGTTGACAGCTATGGGTCGAGGTTATGTTCTTTCACATGTGGTGGACCTGTAAAAGGGTAAAATAGTATTGGGAAATAATTTATAATGACTTGGGGGGGAATGTTTAAAAGCACCTTTCCAAAAAAAACAGAGTCTTTTTTTGTTGGGGATAATTCAGATGGAAATTCCCAGGTGTCAAAAAGGGTTATTTATGTACGCCACTACGGCGGCCCATGTTTCGTTTGCCCCAAAATGGAAAACGAGCGAGGCCCCATCTAAAGAAGAATGGCAACTTAAACTGTTGGAATAGGCGCAGCTTGCGGATCTTAACTTACAGAATAAGAGAACGAGAAGAACCTTCGTTTAAAGAAGATTGGAAAATGTTTATTGAATATATGGGGGATAATTGTGTATGCTTGAAAACATTGGCAGCGTTAAGATAAATTCAACAGCTTAAATAAGTTTTGATGGAAGAAACAATGGAATTCTGAATGGTATAGTTTATATAAAATATGCAGGGATTTATGCTGTGCAAAATGAACTGTGGAAAGAGAAGAAAGGAAGACATTGATATTTTAAGGTTATCTAAATGAATATTCTAAATTGTAAGACTATATATGTGTGTGTGTGTGTGTGTGTGTGTGTGTGTGTGTGTTGAAAGAAAATAGGTGCCTCATTATTTCCTTTTCACCTACGTGAAAGAAGACAAGGGACCAGGGGCAGCCTGGTTGAGAACTTAGGGTATTGTATATGCTGCAGTCCTGACCCGGATTTTGACTGTTTTATGTCATTGCTTCCCTAAAGCGCTCTGGGATTTGTAGTTGTGAGGAGATGGAGGAGGCTAGGAGACTGTCTTATACCGAGTCAGGCCATTGGTTCATCTACCTCAATATCACCTATGCTGATTGGCAGAGGCCCTCCAGGGCTTAAGGGAGGAACGTTCCAGAGCTGTACCGGAAGACACCAGGAATTGAACCCAGGACCTTCCCCACAGGGGAGATAATTATCCTGTGGCTGCAACACTTTCACAAGATGATAAATCACAGGGTGCGAGCAGCAGTTAAAGCAGATGCAACTGAAAGCACACAAGGATATAAATACAGCGGTACCTTGGTTTTCAAACGTCTCCGTTGACAAACGTTTCGGAACTCAAACGCCATAAACCCAGAAATAAATGCTTCCGTTTTTGAACACGCCTCGGAAGTCGAATGGCTTCCGCTGAGTGCATATGTTTCTCAATTTTCTCTATTAAATTTGCAGACCACCCTTTGCACCTCGGTTTTCGAATGTTTCGGAACTCGAATGGTCTTACGTTCGGAAACTGAGGTACCACTGTATTAAAAAAAAACCCCCAATAATATTGAAAACAGCACTGAAAACATTTTCAACTTCTTCTTTTTTTAAGAATAGCATTCATCCTGCCTCAAATGCCAGTTAGTCACCAAAGGCCTACTGGAACAAAAAAAAAGTCTTTGCCTGCTGGTGAAAGGAACACAGGAAGGGAGTTTTCCACATGCCGGGTCAGTTAATCCAGTGTAGGGCTATACAGGGATGTCTGCACTAGAAGCGTAGACCAGTTTCAGATCTGCAGAAACAAGCTATTTAATCGGCTTCTTAGGTAGCAGAGGTGACTTTCAATGCCAAGCACTGAAGGAGCTTCTTATAAGGCTGTTGGAATTAGCCCTGTGCTGAGATTCTTGATGCAGGAGGAGAGGGTGGAAACAAAGAAAAAGAACCTTAATTGTGGGTGGTGGCAGAGGAGGAATTCTTAAATATGTATGTATATATATACACACACACACACACACACATACACCAACCCTTTAAAATGCAGGTGGCTTTTGAGGAGGTGGCTGTGTATTTCACTGAGCCGGAGTGGGCCTTGCTGGATGCGAGCAAGCGAGCGCTTTACTGGGACGTCATGCGGGAGAATTACGAGCGCTGGGCTTCACTGGGTAAGTATCCTGCCTGTTATCCCTTCCCTTATTAAACACTTGAGCCCTGGCATCTTAAACTGGATTTGTCTTTCCCTGCTACTTTTTAGCTTTATTGATAATGGTGGGGATCGTGAAGGCTGCCTTGGGTGTTTGTCACCTTTGAAGGTGATCCGAAACTAAAATTAATCCAGAATGCGGCAGCCAGAGAGATGACTGGGAGCGGCTGCCGAGACTACATAACACCGGTCTTGAAAGACCTACATTGGCTCCCAGTACGTTTCCAAGCACAATTCAAAGTGTTGGTGCTGATCTTTAAAACACTAAACGGCCTCGGTCCTGTATACCTGAAGGAGCGTCTCCACCCCCATTGTTCAGCCTGGACACTGAGGTCCAGCTCCGAGGGCCTTCTGGCAGTTCCCTCCCTGCGAGAAGTGAAGCTACAGGGAACCAGGCAGAGGGCCTTCTCGGTAGTGGCACCCACCCTATGGAACGCCCTCCCATCAGATGTCAAGGAAATAAACAACTATTTGAATTTTAGAAGACATCTGAAGGCAGCCCTGTTTAGGGAAGTTTTTAATGTTTGATGTTTTATTCTGTTTCTAGTGTTCTGTTGGGAGCCGCCCAGAGTGGCTGGGGAAACCCAGCCAGTTGGGCGGGGTATAAATAAAATTATTATTATTATTATTATTATTATTATTATTGGCAATATGGAGGGGGGTAGCCAACAAAGGCCTTCTGCTGGCACAAATCCTCTTGGCTGTGCAATGGGAATTCCCCCACCTCTTCTGCCTGCACCCCTAAATCTATTCCTAGGGGTCCTCCAAACATCTAAAGCAGATTTGAGGCAGGTGGAGAGGGCAGAGAAAACCTGTTTGCTGTTCCTTTTCTGCTGTTAGTTCCACCATATTGCCTAATGTCCAGACTCTTTCTTTGCAGGTGGTTGCTATCAACAACGAGACCTTAAATCTACGGAGCCTTGTGGGAGATTGCTGAAATATTCCCGAGAGAGGGAATCTCCGAGTTCCCAATCCCTGTCACAAGGAGGAGAAACAACCAGTGGAGAAGTCGGGCGAAACAGCCCCGTTCAAAGGGAGCATCAGCGCTGCAAAATGTCACCCGGTCGACATGGGAGAAAGGAAGGATTCCTGTCCCAAGTGTGGGAAAAGCTTCTGTCACAAATCAGCACTCACTGCACACCTGAGAATCCACACAGGAGAGAAGCCGTACCAGTGCCACGATTGTGGGAAAAGCTTCAATCAGAGCTCAGCCCTGACTCAGCATCAGAGGATCCACACTGGGGAGAAACCCTACGCCTGCCTCAGCTGTGAGAAAAGATTCAGTCAGAGCTCAGCCCTCACTCAACATCAGAGAATCCACACCGGGGAGAGGGCTTACGCGTGCCTTGATTGTGGGAAAAGCTTCGTTTACCAGTCGGCCCTCATACGGCATCGTAGAATCCACACTGGAGAAAAATGCTACAAGTGCCCTGACTGTGGGAAAGGCTTCAACCAAAGCTCTAACCTTATTACACATCAGAAAATTCATAATGGTAGGGAAGCGTGGTTAACTGTCCCATTCACATGTTGTCCTCTGAGGCCTGTTAATCATTCTCCTTTGGGTTATAACAAAATTGATTCACTGACGTGTTATATCTCACTAGAGAATGTCCAGAGCATGGCAAGAAAATATTATGATCCTGTAACCCACAAGCATGGGGTAAATAACAAAAGAATCCAGCTGGGTGCCTGGATTCAAAATGTGGGGCTAAACTCACTCTTCAGCAGGAGAAAGCCCTCAGCTGCTGAGTTTAAACTCATAGTAGTCAAGCAGCGGTATAGTGTGGCTAAATGTAGGCTGTTAAACCTTTTTATCCCTTTTTGTCTGCTTGCAAACTCCTGTGGCAACAAACAGAGGAGTTTTGTCCTCTTTCTACTCTCTCGCAGTGTTAAGTAAGTTAAAAATGTTTTCCTTACAAAACGTTTCAAAGGTCAGATTCATGCCTTTATCCAAGCGGCACCAAGGAGAACACATGCAGAATACTAATAGGTAGAAAATACAAAAAGATAGCTTCAAACTCATGCTTTAAGCTTGGAGCAAAGCTTAGACACGTCTTCCTTTGTCAGTTACGTGGTGAGGAGAGAGATGGAAAAGGAAGAGAAGGCTTCACTTCCTCCCTTGTCAGAGAAGAGGAGGCATGACTTAGCTGTGTCTAGGAATCCAGCTCTGCTGTCTTAACCCTTTCATGCACCAACTAGCACTTTCTGACTGCAGTTCCCACACAGAGGACTTCACATGCATAATGGTCACATACACACCATATATTTAAGCACTAAAATACCACTCTAAACAATTACGGCTTCCCCCAAATAGTTGTGGGAGCTGTAGTTTCTTAAGGGTCCTGGGACCCCCTGTGCCCCTCAAGGAGCCACAATTCCCATAGTAATTTAACAATCAATTCTTCCTAGGGAACTCTGGCAATTGTAACCCTCTCAGGGAATAAGGGTCTCCTAACAATTCTCAGCTATAATAATAATAATAATAATAATAATAATAATTTATTATTTGTACCCTGCCCATCTGGCTGGGTTTCCCCAGCCACTCTGGGCGGCTTCCAATAAAGATGAAAGATACACTAAAATGTCACATATTAAAAACTTCCCTGAACAGGGCTGCCTTCAGATGTCTTCTGAATGTCAGGTAGATGTTTATCGCTTTGACATCTGATGGGAGGGCATTCCACAGGGCGGGCGCCACTACCGAGAAGGCCCTCTGCCTTGTTCCCTGTAACTTGCCCTCTCGCAGTGAGGGAACCGCCAAAAGGCCCTCGGAGCTGGACCTCAGTGTCCGGGCAGAACGATGGGGGAGGAGACGCTCCTTCAGATATACTGGACCGAGGCCGTTTAGGGCTTTAAAGGTCAGCACCAACACTTTGCATTGTGCTCGGAAACGTACTGGGAGCCAATGTAGGTCTTTCAAGACCGGTGTTATATGGTCTCGGCGGCTGCTCCCAGTCACCAGTCTAGCTGCCGCATTCTGGATCAGTTGTAGTTTCCGGGTCACCTTCAAAGGTAGCCCCACGTAGAGCACATTGCAGTAGTCCAAGCGGGAGATAACCAGAGCATGTACCACTCTGGTGAGACAGTCTGCAGGCAGATAGGGTCTCAGCCTACGTATCAGATGGAGCTGGTAAACAGCTGCCCTGGATACAGATTTGACCTGTGCCTCCATGGACAGCTGTGAGTCCAAAATGACTCCCAGGCTGCGCACCTGGTCCTTCAGGGGCACAGTTACCCCATTCAGGACCAGGGAATCCTCCACACCTGCCTGCCTCCTGTCCCCCAAAAACAGTACTTCTGTCTTGTCAGGATTCAACCTCAATCTGTTAGCCGCCATCCATCCTCCAACCGCTTCCAGACACTCACACAGGACCTTCACCGCCTTCACTGGTTCTGATTTAAAAGAGAGGTAGAGCTGGGTATCATCCGCATACTGATGAACACCCAGCCCAAACCTCCTGATGATCTCTCCCAGTGGCTGCATGTAAATGTTGAAAAGCATGGGGGAGAGGACAGAACCCTGAGGCACCCCACAAGTGAGAGCCCTCTCCTTGGCGCACAGATTGCTCCTGTTTTAGGGATTTGCAGTTTCTACCCTACATTTTACATTCTCTCCCTTAACCTTTTCTTCTTCGTATCCTATAGGGATACCTTGCAGGAGCAAGAAGAAGACGCCTGAGCAGCAAGTTTGTGAGCCATTAGAACCACCTGGAATACAACGAGTTTCCCCTCACAATCCTCAAGTGGAAAAAGAGATTCGGAACCAGGGAAGTTTGCAGAGAAACCCCTCAGAGCAGGCCCAGGATCAAGTCGTTTCTAGAACAGGTAGTTTCATATCTCAGAAAGATGTCACGATAAAGACAAGGCCCGCTAGGGTTAAGAGGCCACTCGTATGTCACGACTGTGGAAAGAACTTCAAGTACAGTTCCCATCTGGTTAACCACCTGAGAATACACACAGGAGAGAAACCTTACGTCTGCCCAGACTGCGGGAACAGGTTCATTCAGAACTCAGCCCTTAAGAGGCACCAAAGGAGCCACAGAGGCGACAGGCCCTATGGATGTTCCGACTGTGGGAAAACCTTTAGCCGGAACTCTCACCTGGCGAAACATCGAGTGATTCACACGGGAGAAAAACCTTACGAGTGCCTTGACTGCGGGAAGAAATTCAGTGTCAAAATGAACCTAGTGATTCACCAACGGATTCACACGGGAGAGAAGCCATATATGTGCTTGGAGTGCGGGAAACGCTTCAGCCAGCGACCCCACTTTATGATCCACCAGAGAATCCACACGGGAGAGAAACCTTACCAGTGCCCCGAATGCGGGAAAAGCTTTCGCGTGAGTTCGCACCTTGTCGCACATCAGAGGATTCACGCGGGGAAGACGTCGTTCATATGTCCGGACTGCGGGAAAAACTTCAGTGGTAGCAAGCAGTTTATTCACCATAAGATGTCCCATCTCATTGGAGAAAGCTATCAGCTGCCCATTGCAGCTGTGACCATTAAGAGTGACCCATTTGCCCCCGGTTCTGTAGGTCAGGAAGGCAGTGGCTACAGTCCTGGAGCGAATCAGTGAAGTCCCGGCTGTGTTGGGCTAAAGCAAAGAAAGGGAAACCTTGATAAACCCTGTCGCATAACTGCAAATGGTGAGATCCTTTCTACAATTAGAGTTTGAAGGGAAGGTGGCTAGAAAAGGGCATTTTCACTCAAACTTCAAACCCTTTTGCTGCAGTTGAGAGCCAGATGTACCAGATAGAGTGTTGGGCTTGGCCTGGTTTGGACATGGATACTCAGCCATGACGCTTGCTGGTGACCTGGGACCAATTGTCATGTCAGCCTAACCGACCTCACAGGGTTGTTAGCAGGATGAAATGGATAAAACCTTGTTGTATAGACCATCTCGAGTTGTTTGGAAGAGAAAGATGAGGATACAAATACAGCCGTACCTTGGTTCTCAAACAGAATCTGCTCTGGAAGTCTGTTTGACTTCCGAAAACCAAGGTGTGGCTTCCGATTGGCTCATAGCTGTCAACTTTCCCCTTTTTTTAAAGGGAAATCCTATTCGGAATAAGGAAGTTTTCCTTAAAAAAAGGGAAATGTTGACAGCTATGGATTGGCCGCAGGAGCTTCCTGCACCCAATCGAAGCCGCGTCAGACATTTAGCTTCCAAAAAGCATCCGCAAACCGGAACACTCACTTCTGGGTTTGTGGCATTCGGGAGCCAAAATGTTCTAATCGCAAGGCGTTTGGGAGCCAAGGTACGACTGTACAATAAACAAACAATCAAACCATGTACCATTCCTAGACATCAGGTAGAATTGGCAGGTGACCCCTTCCCAATCTGCGAGTACCATCAGTGGATGGTGGTTTCCTGACTAGGGTCACATTTAAAGCATCAACAGTCATGGCTTCTCCCAAAGAATCCTGGGAGCTGTTGTTTGTTAAGGGCGCTGAGAGTTGTAGGGGACTCCCTGTTCCACTCACAGAACTACATTTCCCAGAGTTCCCTGTGAAGAGGGACTTATGGTTAAGCCACTCTGAGAGCTGTAGCTCTGTGAGAACAGGGGTCTCCTAAGAATTCAGCAGCCTTAAGAAACTACAGCTCCCAGAATCCTTTGGGGGAAGCCATTTTAAAGCACCATGGCCCTGCTTAAATGCATGGTGCAAATGTGGCCTAGATTCTCCGGACCACCGCGCTCTTTCCAAGCGGCAGGGAGCATAATCTTGAAGTCCTTGGCCTAATAACCTCATATGGGTGGGAGGAGCCTGGATGGAGAGGAGGAGTCTGGGGAGAAATGAGAGGAGAAAGCCGAAACAGATGGAGTGATGGAAGGGGGAGAAGGGGAGTCCCCTACAAGTGTGGGAATGTTCAGGAAGGCAGAAGAGGACATATTGTTTATTAATATCCTTCCTAACTTGTGCTAGCAAGTTCCTTTACTTAGCAGAGTTTACATTCCCCTTTTAACATGCACAGCAGATAGCTGGTTGCAGGCTTGTGTAAGTCTCTCACTATCATACAATTCAGTATTGAATTGTATGTTGCTGCTAAGTTCCCTTTTATCCCTCTTAAAAGAATAAACACACGACAATCTTATTTAAAATCAATAAAAGTTGTTTACTCACGTCAGTTCACAGTTGGATCCCTGAAGGCAGACTTAGATACAAATATATACATGTGGATCTACCCCATATGGAGGAGTGATCCCAGCCTCTGCTAGCTGAGAATCTAGCAGGGCAGTCTAAGCTAGAAGCTGGTCAAACAAAGAAGGAAGTGAAAAAGAGAGAGTGTGGCAGCACAACTTGTCCTTTTGTTACCTGGACAGGCCACACCCACCTCTAGTCACATGCAAAGGAAGGATGTTCCAGCCAGGAGGAAACAGGAAGTTTTCGACTGGCTGGACCAAACATTCGCCTGCATGTCCACTCTAGGAAAACAAGGAATGTTGTGTTTGACTGCTCTCAGTAGATTATATCCCACAACAAGTGACGTGTTCAGATAGTCTCTCTACAAAGTGTCTTCCCCACTGGTGTGTAAGGAGGGAGGACATCAGGGGCGATGGAGGAGCAGCGGCAAAACCTCAAGATGTAGAATGACACTTTCCTTTCTCATCAGATGCTTCAGATGGCAGGGGGAACTGCAAAAGCACAGGCACCAGGGATCCCCCCATGGTGAACCCAACCCAGGGGCGAGCCAGAGAACCAAAGCAACTTGCTGGGAAGAGCAGATGCAGGTGGGAAAAGTGGGGAGGGGGTGAGATTTTAAGAGAAAGGAGGGCCCATAGGTGAGAAGAATCCTGGTCCTCCTACCACAGGAGGGTGGGATGCACCAATTCTCTCCTCCAGGAAAGAGGTAGGTTTGGGGTTCTGGAGGGTATGCTTAGGATTTGACTGCCCCTCGGTCATTGACTCAGCTGGGGCCCATCTTAACCCCAGGCCATTTGTAAAACACCTAAGGAGGCTGGAGATAAAACGCTGGTGTTTCCCCTGAAACCGGTACTTATTTACCATTTTCAATTTCCTTTAAGTTTGCCTTTACATTTTGTGTTTGCTTCCTGCTCCTGAAACAATAAATTGAGCTACGGTATGTCTTCCTCATTAGTTTGATTCAAAAACTGGTTTTTTTCTTTCGTTTACGACTACGAAAAAGGAGCCAGGGATTAAAAAATAGCAATTTTGCGAGTTAGTTAAATTTAGTCTGATTAGTTAAATTTAGTCTGATTCGGAAGCCTCCTTTCCCCCCTTTTAAGTAGACCAGAGCTACAGTTTAAAATAATTTCTGCATTTCGAAATGCATTGCTGTTGGTAAGCTACGCAGAGATCGTCGTGACTGGGTGGCATATGAATGCTGTTAGTGAACAAAATTAAAATAATTCTGTTTGAGAGGAAATCTGTTTTATAATTTATATTATCGATGGATTATTTAAATTAAAATTTAATACAATTAAATCCGATTGCTCATAAGAGGCAGGACAAATGGTGGAGGGGAACCCCACTTACTGTATATCAAAGGGAATTATTTAGATATTTACTTCTGAATGTATTTACATTTTTTTAAGGCTAGATAAGGTCAAAGAATGAAAGAAAGACAGGAAATCTGAAAAAAAAAAATAGGCAATGGCTTTGATGCCTTGATTTCATATATATTTTTTTAATTCTGCTTTGGAAAATCTGTCTAAGGAGAAGGCTTAGGGTCAAGCAGGGCAAACAATTTCTAGTTTAAATTTGGTCACTTTGATTCATCCTGCGTTGGTTATGCACACAATAATTATGTGAGAACTCCACTCACGCAATATCTAACTCATGGCTGAATCCAGGGGTGGGGAACCAGTTTCAGCCAGTGAACTAGCTCCAGTTGTGGACAGCCCCCAAGAGCAATGAGTTCACATCAAACACCAGTGAACGGCCTCAGCCCTGTATACCTGAAGGAGTGTCTCCACCCCCATCATTCAGCCTGGACACTGAGGACCAGCGCCGAGGGCCTTCTGGCAGTTCCCTCACTGCGAGAAGTGAGATTACAGGGAACCAGGGAGAGTGTCTTCTTGGTAGTGGCGCCCGCCCTGTGGAACACCTTCCCATCAGATGTCAAGGAAATAAACAACTATCTGACTTTCAGAAGACATCTAATGGCTGCCCCATTTAGGGAAGTTTTTAATGCTTGATGTTTTATTGTGTTTTTAATATTCTGTTGGGAGCCACCCAGAGTGGCTGGGGAAACCCAGCCAGATGGGTGGGGTAGAAATAAATTATTATTATTATTATTATTATTATTACTACTACTACTATCTGGCTATCTCACCTCTCTCCACTAACTAGGTCAGGCATAGGCAAACTCGGCCCTCTAGATGTTTTTTGAGACTACAATTCCCATCATCCCTGACCACTGGTCCTGTTAGCTAGGGATGATGGGAGTTGTAGTCCCAAAACATCTGGAGGGCAGAGTTTGCCTATGCCTGCACTAGGTATTAAATTACTGATGCAATATCGTTCCACCGAGGGAGATCGTTCCACTGTCCAACAGCTCTGTCAGAAAGGTCTTCTTGATGTTTAGTCGGAATCTCTTGTAGCTTGAAGGCATTGGTTTGGGTCCTAGCCTTCAGAGTGGGGAAAAACAAGCTTGCTCCATCTTCCATTTTGACAGCCCTTGAGATATTTGAAGATGGCTATCATATCTCCTCTCAAGTCTCTGGTTTTCTCAACCGTTCCTCATAAGGCTTGGTTTCCAGACCCTTGATCATCTTGGCTGCCCTCCTCTGCACTTGTTCCAGCTTGCCAATATCCTTCTTAAATTGTGGTGCCCAGAACTGGAGACAGCACTCCAGGTGTGGCCTGACCAAGGCAGAATAGAGAGGTACTATTACTTGACTTGATCAGGAAGAGGTGTGGATTATGACCTTCTGAAGCCCATGACAACTTGGGACTAAAGTGAATCTGTCATTCTTTAAGAACAACTGATGAGGGCTCCATGCACGAACATATTCATTTGGGGGGGGGGCGACGACACATGAACATAGCAGTGCCCTGTATGTGAAACTCTCCCCCAATAATTTAATATTCCCCTTTGCTTGTGTTCCCATGGCACTTCAAGGCCGTACCTTTTGTTTTTATTTAGTTAAGATGCAATGTTTTGAGAAGCCCTATCCCACAGTGTTTTAAAAAAATGTGAATTTAGTGTTAGCGCTTGATCCTTGCATTGATTTGCCAGGAGTGCCTTTTTCACCCTATATTCCAAACAGAAACACGCATGCCTTTCCCATTTCCCCAAGAGCGCCATTTTCAGTAGACTAGAGGGCACGGGCTTTCAGGACCAAGTCACACACCTGTTATTACATCCCTTGATAATTCATTACTTTGTGACTTGCAGCTACAGTGAGGGGAGAAAGTATCTGATCCCCTGCTAAATTTGCCCCTTTGCCCTCTGACGAAGAAATGACCAGTCCATAATTTTAATGGTAGGTTTATTGCAGCTGTGAGAGACAGAATAACAAGAAAACCCTCAGAAACCCAGAAGACGAAAGTCAGAGATTGATGTGCATTATAATGAGTGAAATAAGTATTTGACCCCTTTGCAAAAGATGACTTAGTACTTGGTGGCAAACCCTTGTTGGCAATTACAGAGGTCAGACTTTTCTTCTAGGTGGCCACCAGGTTTGCACACATCTCAGGTGGTATTTTGTCCCACTCCTCTTTGCAGATCCTCTCCAATTTAGTAAGATTTCGAGGCTACTACAATAAACCAACCATTAAAATTATGGACTGGTCATTTCTGCGTCAGAGGGCAAATGGGCAAATTTAGCAGGGGATCAAATACTTTCCCCCCGCACTGTAAATATGTGAATCATATTTCAGAAAACTGTAGCAATTGGAAGTGATGTCAAGAGGACAGAAAAGCTGTCGCTGATTTTGTGATGCCCAGGTCAAAAATATAAGAAAACCGCTGTTGGAACAGATTGATACGCCCATCTAATCCAGCCTCCAACTGTAGCCAGCCAGATGTGTCCAGAAATCCACAATCAGGATGTGATTGACAACTGCTCTCTGCTGCCATTGTGCTTCTGCAGCATGTGGTATTCAAACAGAGTTCATCTGGACGTGGAGGTTTCCCTGAGCTTTTGAAAAATAGAATTCAGAATGCTGCAGCAACCGGTTTTGCAGATACATCCACCAACAGCTCTGAAACACGAGGGTCTTGAGATCTAAATGTGCTGGAACTGAAGGCGCACGACGTGGATAGTTTGGGGAGAAACACTTCTTGGTAAACCTTTGAAAGAAGGAACTGTGGGTCTGTGGCAGGTCATTTGCACATAAGTTAAAGGTAAAGGGACCCCTGACCATTAGGTCCAGTCGTGGCCGACTCTGGGGTTGAGGTGCTCATCTCGCTTTATTGGCCGAAGTACGGCTTCCGGGTCATGTGGCCAGCATGACTAAGCCGCTTCTGGTGAACCAGAGCAGCGCATGGAAACGCCGTTTACCTTCCCACCGGAGCGGTACCTATTTATCTACTTGCACTTTGACGTGCGTCAAACTGCTAGGTTGGCAGGAGCTGGGACTGAGCAACGGGAGCTCACCCCGTCGCAGGGATTCGAGCCATCGACCTTCTGATCGGCAAGTCCTAGGCTCTGTGGTTTAACCCACAGCGCCACCCGCGTCCCTAACACCACATATTGAATATCTAAAGTGTTTCACAGGCATCCTGGTAAAAAGAGTTATCACCCCCTCCCCATATTGCAGATGGAAAGGAAGAGTGAGACAGAGAATAATGGCTTGGATAAAGCTGGAGTTAATGGCGGAAGAAAGACTGGACGAGGGGAGTTCATCATTCATGCCCTTAACCACGATGGGTGGCCATCTGCCCGTTATTGGTCGTGCACAAGCTTCTGTTCAGCAGATCAACAGATGCATTGAAAAGGGGGACAGCCTTACAGATCAGAGGCAGAGAATCTGTTTTGCATGCAGAAGGTGCTAGGTTGAATCCCGGACATCTCCAGGTATGGATGGGAGAGAAAACTGTTTGCTACCAGTCAGTGTGGGCACTACTAAGATAGATGGATCAATGGTCTTGACTTGGTATAAAGCAGCTTCGTAAAATCCAGCGTCTCCTTGTGCAGTGGCATTTTTTTTTAAATCTCTGGAAGCACGAGCTTCCAAATTCCAGCTGTACTAGCACAGCTGACATCAAATTCAAATTCAGGCTTAACATGCATTCTTGAAAATTAACCCTATCAAAAAAATTAAAAGCATTTGCTTCAAAGGTCATAGGCTTAGGACAGGGGTCAGAAAAACTTCTTCAGCAGGGGGCTGGTCCACTGTCCCTTGGACCTTGTGAGGGCCGGACTATATTTTGGGGAAAATAATAATAATGAATGAATTCCTATGCCCCACAAACAACCCAGAGATGCATTTTAAATAAAAGGACACATTCTACTCATGTAAAAACACACTGATTCCCGGACCATCTGTGGGCTGGATTTAGAAGGTGACTGGGCCGGATCCGGCCCCGGGCCTTAATTTGCCCACCCATGGGTTAGGATGAGAGTGTTAAAATAAACCAGCAGGTTCTCTACAAGAAATCCAACAAAACTCACCCCAAATTCACTTTGCACCCCTCTGGATACTTGGATCTGCTGTCATGACAGTATAATTGTAGCACTGAGTGACATGCGGTGGAGAAAACTGAACACACAGGTGTGTTTGTGTGATTATTGTTATTAATATGCCGCCCATCTGACTGGGATGCCCCAGTCACTCTGGGCAGCTCCCAAGAAAGTATTAAAAACATAAAATATCAACCTGCCAAAGAACAGAATCTCTGCTCTCCGCCCCCCCAGAGGCAGATGATATTCTACCCTCTTATCTCGGGGGGGGGGGGGAACCTTTTACAGGCCCAGGGCCACAGCCCCTTCTGAGGACCACGTGCCAGTGGTGGGAGGATCCAGAGGCAAAAGGAGGCGGGGCAATGAATGTTAAACTTTGCCTTTGTACAGTAGGCAAGTTTCTGCATGCACTAGAGCTCCATTGCTGGCATCATCGGAGTTCGAGGACAAAGTCAAGCCAGGCAAAAACACTCAAGGAGAGGGTGGAGCAGAGTCAGTAGTGGGTGGGGCTAAGGAAAGTCCCAAGTGTCAGATAAGAGGCCTAGAAGGCTGCATTCAGCCCCCAAGGTCTAAGGCTCCCCATCCCATCTCTGTGGTGCTCTACCCCATCTGCCCGTTATTGGTCGTGCACAAGCTTCTGTTCAGCCAATGACTACTGGAATCGCACTGACTTTTGTGACGTTAGCTATTTGAATGATCTGTGTGCTATTCGCCTGTCTCGCCGCCCAGCAGCCCCCGCCACCCATCACGCCCTTTCTGTATTGCTCTCTGCCGCCACTATATTTTGAAGAAGCCGGATGTCAGAAACAGGCGCCGCCATGGAAGCAGGTACAAATCTATTTTATTTGTGTTAACTCCTTTTGAGAAAAAGCGTGCGAGTTTCTCTGAAGACAGAATACGGAAGATTCCTCATCCTATCCCACCCATTAGAGAAACAGAGTTGTCAGGATTTCCCAGAACCAGATCTTTCCAAGACTAGATTTGGTCTGCGTTCCTTGCTACCCTATGCTCCATGTTGCCTATTCCGCATTGCAAAAGATTTTCCTGATGTTTTTCTCAGGCATCAATTTCCGTTTCCAACAGCCTTTCTCAACCTGTGAGTCCCCAGATGTTGTTGAACTACAACTCCCATTGTCCCTAGCTAGCAAGGCCAGAGCTCAGGGATGATGGGAGTTGTAGTCCAACAACATCTGGGGACCCACAGGTTGAGAACCGCTGGTTTGCAAGCTTTGCTAGCGCCTAACTGGGACTCCATCAGCTAGGGTTGCTACTCAGAATCTTTAAGAGAGGTCTCCCTTTCGTGGATTTTCCGGTGCTTCCGAAGGTTTGAACTGACGCTGAAACCCCTCCCGCACTCGGCGCATTCGTAAGGCTTCTCTCCAGTGTGCACTCTCTGGTGCGTGATAAGGTGCGAATTGTTGCGAAAGGTTTTCCCGCACTCGAGACAGGCGTACGGCTTTTCTCCCGTGTGAAGCCGCTGGTGGCCCACAAGAACCGAGCTGTAAGAGAAGCCTTTCCCGCACTCGGGGCACTTGTACGGTTTCTCCCCTGTGTGAATCCTCAGGTGAGTGACGAGGTGCGAGTTCGTGTTGAATTTCTTGCCGCAGTCGTTGCACTTGTAGGGTTTTTCTCCCGTGTGGATTCTCTGGTGGATAATGAGGTCTGCGCTCCGGCAGAAGTTTTTGCCGCACTCCAGGCAAAGGTAGGGTTTCTCGGTCATGTGGATTCTCTGATGACTTAGAAGACCCGATTTAACGCTGAAGCTTTCCGGGCAGTCGGGACATTGATAAGGCTTCTCCCCCGTGTGGATTCTCTGGTGCATCACCAGGGTCGAGCGCCTGCCAAAGCTTTTCCAGCAGTCCTGGCATTTATAGGGTTTCTCGCCGGTGTGGATTCTCTGATGGGTAACGAGAGTGGAGCTCCTGCTGAAGCTATTTCCACAGTCGAAGCATTTATAGGGCCTCTCCCCTGTGTGCGCCCTCTGGTGCATAATAAGATTCGAGCTGCGGCTGAAGGTCTTCCCGCAGTCGCAGCACTGGAACGGCGGTTCCTTTAAGTGAGTTCTCTGGTGTCTGTTGAAGTTCAGGATCTGGTTGAAGCTTCTTCCGCAGTGAGGACAGAAAAAGGGCTTCTCTCGCACATGGCTTTTCTGGTGCGCGATGAGGTGGGTACTCTGAACAAAGCCTTTCCCACACTTGGAACAGATAAACGGACGGTCTCCCGTATGGAGTTTCCGGTGCCGGACAAGGTCCGAACGCCGGCAAAAGTTCTTCCCACAATCAGGACATGTGTGTTTCTTCTTGAGAACTTGTTCTTCCGGCATCCCAGTTCCATGCCTTTCCAGAAAGGCCTTCAAGTGAGGCGGGCTCCTAGTGCTGCCCTCTTCCAAGAGACTTTCCTGGTCGGTTTTCTCTTCTTTGTGTTGGGTCAACATTTTATCAATAGCTGAAAAGAAACAGAGAGAGAGAAAAAACAGAGATGAGGCGTTATTCCGTGCTGAGGACTCCAAAAATTGTTTCGTATTGCAGGGAGTCAGACTAGAGATTCATACAATCCCCTTATTGATGTTCACAAGCCCTTCTTCCCATTTTCTCAACCTTTGGTGCATTGTTTATCGATTAAAATTTTTTTAAGCTGCTCTTTGGGTCTGACTTTAAGATGGAAGAAAGCAGAAGAGAGTGAATGTATACATTGAAGTATATACACAAAGTATCAAATGTGGTGACAGTAATAATAATACAACAAAGCAACAACACCATAAACTGGCTTACAGTATAAAACCAAATTTACTAGAATAATAGCTAGAATAGAAATAGACTTGTAACCATTCAAACAACAAACATACTAAGGTGCCATGTGCAAAACAAAGCCTGGAGATACGGTAAACATGGAGTGGATAAATGTACAACTCTATCTTAACAAGTTACATGTGCAGTAAACGTTATACAGACTGGATAAATGAACCGTTCAACAAGTAGCATAAGTCCATCACAGAACGGCAATCCCATGCCGCCACAACGGCAAGGGTAGCACACTGGAGAATATGAAAAAGTTTTTCAAAGCCAGTTTGTGGTGGTGTTGTTTTGTCGTATACATTGAAGCCATCTGGGCATATAAGCGGCATACTTAGGACCACAGTACCTCAAGGACCGCCTCTTCCCATATGAACCTACCCGGACCCTTAGATCATCTTCTGAGACCCTCCTTTGTGTGCTTCCTCCTTGAGAGATTCGGAGGGTGGCAACACGAGAACAGGGCCTTTTCTGCGGTGGCTCCCCATCTGTGGAATGCTCTCCCCAGGGAAGTTTACCTGGTGCCTTCATCATGCACCTTTAGGCACCAGGCAAACACGTTCCTTTTTAACCAGGCCTTTCGCTGACCTGATGGACATCCTATACCCTTTTAAAATGTGGCTCTTTTTTTGAAGGGGTGTTACAGTATTCTTATTTTGATTTTGTATACTGTGGTCTTTTCTGTGAGCCTCCCTGAGACCTCTGGGTATAGGGTGGTATATAAATTCAATCAATATAAAGTGATAAAATGGTTTACGTGATAAAATGATTCCTTTTCCAGTGCTGTTCTTGTTTGCCTCTTGTTTTGTTTTCTGTGGTTATGCTAAAGGTAAAGGTAAAGGGATCCCTGACCATTAGGTCCAGTCACGGACGACTCTGGGGTTGCATTGCTCATCTCGCTTTACTGGCCGAGGGAGCCGGTGTACAGCTTCCGGGTCATGTGGCCAGCATGACTAAGCCGCTTCTGGCAAACCAGAGCAGCGCACGGAAACACCGTTTACCTTCCCGCCGGAGCGGTACCTATTTATCTACTTACACTTTGACGTGCTTTTGAACTGCTAGGTTGGCAGGAGCTGGGACCGAGCAACGGGAGCTCACCCCGTCGCGGGGATTCGAACCGCCGGCCTTCTGATCGGCAAGTCCTAGGCTCTGTGGTTTAACCCACAGCACCACCTGCGTCCCTGTGGTTATGCTACTCCCTCCTTTCTCTCTCTCTTCGGGGTCCCAGTAGGACTCACTCACCGCTGCTGGAGTGAACACCATGGCTGGTACCCACCCAATTGATAATGCCAGTCCTGTCCCCAACATACCACAAATAAAGAGACATATTGACAACCTGGAATGTGTGCAGAGAAGGGTGGCCAAGATCTCGGGTTCTTAGCAACCACAAGCTTAACATAAGTCAACAGTGAGATGCAGCGGCAAAAAAAACCAAACGCTGATGCTATTCTAGGCTGTGACAACAGAGGTCTAGTGTCCAGATCAAGGGAAGCCATAGTACTGCTTTATTCTGCCCTGGTCAGACCACACCTGGAACACTGTGTCCAGGTCTGGGTGCTACAATTTTAGGAAGGATATTAGCAAGCTGGAAGGTACACAGAGGAGGGCGACCAAGGTGATCAAAGGTCTGGAAACCAAGCCTTATGAGGAACGGCTGAGGGAATTGGGTATGTTAAACTGGAAAAGAGGAGATATGATAGCCATCTTACAATATCTCAAGGGCTGTCACATGGAAGAGGGAGCAAGCTTGTTTTCTCCTACTCTGAAGGGTAGGACTCGAACCCATGGCTTCAAGACCCTGAGCTGCCCCACACTCCCCAGTCCCAGATAAGCAATCTATACTGGCTGGCGGTGCCCTGTGGGTGGCATTACGATTGCAGAGTTAACAGGGTGGCACTGCCAGCACACATAAGCTGAGCGGGCCTAGAGCTCTGCTTGGTGCTGTTCTCCAAATCCTGCTAACTAGGAACTGGGGGAGAACGCTATGGCCAACTTTTCCCACACTTCCTCAAAGCCTGTGGCAGTCATATGATACAGTGATACCTTGGGTTAACAGCTTAATTCGTTCTGGAGGTCTGTTTTTAACCTGAAACTGTATTTAACCTGAAGCACCACTTTAGCTAATGGGCCTCCTGCCGCCGTGACACCGGAGCATGATTTCTGTTCTCATCCTGAAGCAAAGTTCTTAACCCAAGGTACTATTTCTGGGTTAGCGGAGTCCGTAACCTGAAGCATCTGTAACATGGAGCGTATGTGACCCGAGGTACCACTGTATATCTCAGCCCGTCCTACCTCCCAGGGCTGTTCTGAAAAGTAAAACGTGGCAATTTCAATATACGCCACCCGGATTTCCTCGAAGCGCGAGGCTGGATGAGGCTGCTTGTCCTGATCGTGAGAATCCCCCCTTATTTTCGCACGCGTGGAGAGATCGCGGGGATCTAAATCGCCTGCCTCGTTGGCGGATCTACCCCTCCAGCAGATCCTTTCCGCGGACAGCAAAAAGACCCCTTTCCATTCACCCGTCGTTCTGCTTTTCTCCCAACCGAACCTCTTGGGCGCAGATCGGCTTCCTCGCCCCCAGCCCTGCTCGGCCCCTGGACGGGCCTTTCCCCGGGGCGATTCGCCCCCCCATCTCCCCACCCTCCGGCCTTGCAAAGAGACTCGACGGGCTGCATGGGAGGAGCTAATGGCCGCCACGGCCCAAGGGCTGCTTGCTGCGTCCTCACCTCGGTCGGGCTCGGGCTTTGCAACGCGGGATCCGGGCCCTTGCGGCAGCTTGGCGTCCCTTTCCGTGCAGGCGTCCCCAAGATCCCTCCCCAGCAGGGGGTCCAGCTCCCGTCGATCTTCTGGGATCGTGGGCGGGAGAAGGGAAGGGCCCCGGTGGATACCCTATTTCTCTCGCCACCGCCGCTTCCTTCGCAAACAGGCGGAGGAGGAGCCCTCTGCTGGACGCTGCCTGCCTGCGCCGGGTGTCGCTCGTGGCGTCTAAAGTTAGGGAGGGCGGGGAGAGGGAGTCTATCCCGCAGCTGGGGAGAGAGATAGAGGGGGAGAAGGTCGAGCTGTTGCGTTAAGAGTCGCGGGATGCAGAGATTTCTCTTGCAGCATTGCGGCATAGGAAGAAGAAGGGGGGAGCCTTCGCGTGATCTCCGGCCCAAAAGCATCCTATTGAGCCCGCCTCGCAACCCAAGTACCAAGGGATAGGACTGTTGGCTTGCTTGCTTGTTCGTTTCTTAAAAGATATACACACCCCTTTATTGATATTTTTAAAAGACCCCTCAAAACTGTTTTACTAAAAGATTAAATCGAGGAAAATTTGCAGCAGTGCTTTTTAATATTTTTTTTATAAATAAGGGCCAGGGCCTTCTCAGTGATGGCTCCGACCTGGTGGAATGCTCTGTCCCATGAGACCAGGGCCCTGCAGGATTTAACTTCCTTCCGCAGGGCCTGTAAGACAAAGCTATTCTGCCTGGCTTTCAACTTGAACTTAGCCTGATCTTTTATTCCCCTTCCTTCCCTCCCCCTCCCCCTTTTATGAAGATTACCCGCTCTGGGATCCCACAGCTAATTCTCCCCTGGTCCACGCTGGCCCAAATAGGACTAATTTAGCCAGCTAGCCCTGGTGATCATCTAATGTTTTTTGGATGGATTTTCCCCCTAAATTGATTTTTGAATTCTGAATTTATTGTTATTCACGTTTTATATTGTATTTTATGCTGTTTTTGGTTGCATCAATTAAGTGTTTTAAATATGTTGTTAGCCACCCTGAGCCTGGTTTTTGAACCAGGAAGGGCAGGGTATAAAGAATTTTTAAAAAATATTATTATTATTATTATTAAATTTATACACTGCTTGATTGTACAAAAACTGGTTTACAGAAGAGATAAAGTCATCCATTAAAAAAAATATGACA